GGGGAGGGGGGAGAGAAGACCGGTGGACTCTGAGTGTGGACGTGTTAAACCAACATGTCCAACTCTTTATTCTTCTACTGAAATGAACAAAATAAAACACAAGATAGAAGCTGTTGCCCCCCCCGCACCCCACCCTAACCCTCTGATGTCACAGTGATGTCACTACATGGAGCACATCAGACAACATTTCTGTTGTGATAATGATAAAAACCAAATCCATAAACACTTCAGATTCTTTATTAAAGCTGAAACCTCAGAGAGAGGTTTGTTTTGGTTTTTTTTGTTTTTTTTCTCAGAGCGAGTGACACTGAGACACAGGGAGAGAGAGTTACATATTAATGTCATTCACACTTTGAAGCACCAACGCCGTCTTGTGATGGGGACACGTCCACCCTTCATTTCTCTCTAATGAGGTCACGATAGAGGCCATCGGTTCCAGCGCACACACACACACACACGCGCGACCATTTTGGCGAGCCGTGGATCTGGAGGGTCGCCTTTGATTGATGCTCCGTGGTTCCTCCACATGTTCTACAGCTCAGTCATTTCATTAGGTTTCCTAGGCTTCATTAAGTACCATTATCTTCTATCATATTGTAACGAGGAGGTGGCCAGACGCAGGACGAGCTAATCGCTGATTAATGTTGTGAATCGGTGAGAGACGACAGGAGATTGGACGTCCACTGTATTTAACTGCTGAATATGTGAAAACACACACACACACACACACACACAGAGAGAGAGAGAAAGAAAGGTGTCGGATTAGGAAAACGTCGGAGCAAACCTGAGCAGTTTGTCAAAGTGGGAACTCTTTTTCCATCCCTCCTACCTCCTACCTCCTACCTCCTACCTCATATCCCCTACCTCATATCCCCTACCTCCTACCTCATCCCTCCCACCTCCTGCCCCCTGCCTCCTACCTCCTACCTCATCCCTCCTGCCTCCTACCTCCTACCTCCTACATCCTACCTCCTACCTCCTACCTCCTACCTCATACCTCCTACCTCATGTCTCATACCTCCTGTCTCCTGTCTCCTGTCTCCTACCTCCTACCTCATGTCTCCTACCTCCTACCTCATACCTCCTACCTCATGTCTCATACCTCCTGTCTCCTGTCT